TTACTCACTGATCACATGGAAGGAGATCACTCTCTCGCCTTGTCCAACTTTGTTGACAGCTTCACATTTGTACAACGCTGACACATTGGCAGCTTGGATGACCAGAGTACTTACAGTCTGTGAACATACAATTCCCAAGCCATGAACAATGCAGGCTGAGTATACACACACACCCTGAGACTGAATTCATCAGCCCCCACACCTGCTAAGACCTGCCTTTGCCATTCACACCACACATTGCCTACCTTCCAATGTAAGCAACTCTAACTTGGCAGTTGTACCCAGGATACAGACGTGCTTTGCAAATCCTCAAGGATTCACTTTAATGGGTATTCTGCACACTTTTCATTTTTCATGTGTTCAAAATCAGAATTTCCTTTCAACAGATGTATATACTGTTTGCATGGCATTGCATGATTTGTTTCTCTTCAATAACCTGTTAGTAAGCTATGGGCCCTGTGTTTTTTTCTCATTTTAAATTAGTAGGTATTAATTGTATAAAATAACAGGCTTTGTTATGGCATTTTTGTACATAATGCACTTAGATTATATTCTCTTCCAATTACCCTATCTGTTGACCCTCCTCAGCCCAAATTATCCCCCCTCCTCTTCCTAAACAGTCCTCTCTAACATTGTGTCTTTTTTTCAATCGATTTATATGAGAGAAAAACATATTTGTACTTCTAAGTCTGGCTTACTTTGTTTAACACAATGATCCCATTTTTCTGCAAATGGCATCAATTTGTTCCTCTTTAAAGATGAAAGGCACCTGTGTGTCTGTGTGGGTGCATGCCTGCATATGCATATGTGTGCATGTGTGTGTGTGTGTGTGTGTGTGTGTGTGTGTGTGTGTGTGTGTGTGTGTGTAAAGCTCACACTTTATCTACCTAGGCTGATTCTATAACTTGGCTATTATGGACAATATCACACAGACTCTTTGGTTAATAACCTCCAATATACCTTTGCATGTTATTGGACCATCTTCTATGCAGCAGTGAGAACTAGAGAGATAGTCAAAAATCAAGAACTTCAGACTCACTTTGTTTTTTCCTTCAATTAGGGCATATTGGTTTTTGGTGACTTCGATGTTATTTCCCCCCTGGAAATCCTCCACATTTCTCCATTCTTTGCAAGTATATGGGTTTGTTTGGCTGTATGAGGGAGAAAGCATAGCATGTCATGATTTGACTTTTCTTTCATTCGAATCAATAGTACAGGAAAGGGTCAGACCTTGGTTATCATGTTCTCAGTGATAACTTTCGATACAGGCTAACACTTCACAGGACTTGGCGCCAATTAAAAATAGATGTCAACAACAGTGGAAAGGTCCAAGGTGGTTGATTGAGGATACAGGAGGGAAGCAGCTATTCTGGGAACACATCTCCATTCATAAATTGGATCGACAAGACAATTCAAGTTAATTCAGTTCAAAGGAAGGTAAGGAAACTTGGAAGCCACTGGGCTTCTTAAAGTCATCTCTCTGGGACTGTGGCTTTTGTTTAGGAAATGACCAGCAGCTGAGGGAGAAACCAGAGTTTGCTATTTCAAAAACAACAACAGGAAGTAGGATGCTTGGGATGGTAGGTTGAAGGTGGTGGCTGTTGTTTTCCCTAAGGATGTCTGCACTTGTGGTCGAACTTGATAAGCTGGGCCTAAAGCTCTTTGGGCCTGGGCTAGGTTTATCACCACCTCCCATCCATCAGCACTTCCTCTGAGAGATGGACCTTCCCACAGATAAAGAGGAGCAATATGGTACTCTCCAGCTTGCAGATAGGAGGAGATCCAAAGACTGGCAATTAGCAAACTAAGCAAACAGTGATCATTTGGAGAGGTGGACATCGGGGCTAACTAAGAAGAATGCTGACTCACATGGTGGGATGCCCCAAGCCAGGGAGTCTGTTAAAACTCAAGCCACAGAGGAAAATAGGAGAGTTCAAGTACCATTCTAAGGGTAACATCTTTAGAGATAACATTGTAGGTTTAGATGGAATCATGGCGGCATCAATTGGCAAAAAGGAATACAAGATGGCAAGCAAATCAGAGCACATGGCTTTGCTCACCTGGGCTTGTAGGAGCATGCCTCTTCTAGCTGCCAGTACCAGCGGATGTGGTGCAGGGGAGGGTTAGCATAGACTGTGCATGTCAATGTCTGCATGGTACCGTACTGGTAGGAATCCATGGGAGAGATCAAGGCTTTCTCACCAATCTGGGGTGGGACTGGACACAGAAAAGACAGCCTGTGAGTTACTTGATTGCTATGAGGAACAAGGAGGGATTTCAGCCACCAGATCTGCCCTTTGTACTCAGATGGTTTCACCTCTGCTTGCTTTCCCAAAGGAACAGCTAGAACTGGAACCTGAATTCTTATGCTATCATAAAACTAAAACCCAGTAAGCCGAGTAACTTTAAGCAAACTCCACACACCCATGCCTCACTCAGTCACTCTACATTAAAGATGTTATTGTCCATGTCCTCCAGCCTAGCAAGAAGTAGAGTGGGAAGCTACAGAGAGAAAACCATTGATCCAACACAGCAAATACATTTCTTATGCACCCAGTCTTGTTGAGACGCTTCCCATTGACTTTCAGTCCTCATAACCATGGCTATGGCGCTCACTCTACACATGAGAAGAAATGAGGCAAACATTAAAAGACTTGCCCAAGGGCATCAGTGAATATGTGGCAAAATCCAGGACAAAGGTAGGCATTCTGGATTCTGAACAGAAGCCAGACTTCACGTCTGTATTTATTGCACACGGTGAGGGAAATGATAAGGTTCACTGCATGTGATGACTATAGGAAGCAGAGTTGGGGTTGTTCACTGTCTCTCTGTCTTTGTGGTCCAGTTATTTCCTTCTCATTGCATTTATCACCTTTGTCTTCCACCCCTCTCTTGAATCCCCTTTGCCCATGCAGCTTCTAAGCAATCATCCCAAAAATCTGTTATCTTTAAAACACTCCCTAAAGGAAAAAGAAATGAAGCCATGCTCAGCAGACACACAGAGGAGGATCAAGACACGTGGGAAGCACATTACTGTTGTGAGACAATATCTTGAAGTTTTAATGTGTGGTACCAGTAGGGAGCATGAAGAATTACACTAGAAGCATTTCTCCAACTGTGTTTGAAGCAAAATATTAATGCATTTACTGAGGAAGGAAAAGTGCTCTAGTCAAATAAGCTAGCTAAATCCTCTGTCTCTCCTGCTGGAGAAGGCAATATTCATTAGCATAGTGAAGATTAAGTCCAATAAGGATAAAATCAAGTTGGCAGTCAGCATGGTGGTACTTCTACACTCACCTTCCTGCCTCCACCCAAATAATTATAACGTTCACCTTGGGAATGTAAAGTTTAAATCATCCTTAAGTCAAAAACAGACTCAAGATATGTCCCATGATGCCAGTCTCCACAGGACTCCTGTGTGGAGTTCTGCCATGTGTCTGGAGTAAAGAAGCTAAAGCTTCAGACTAAAACATCATAGGCAACACAAGGAGAGTCTACCAAATCTTCACTCAATATGTAGTTTTGTGGACAGGAGCAATGGGAGCTCACGAACCTTAGAGTGACCCCAAAGGCATTTGTCTGGAGGGTACCATCAACTGTCACCTTGCATGGGACCACCAACAGCACTGATGGGGAATGTACTGTGTATGTTCATCTTATTGATTATTGAATAAAATACTGTTTGGCCAATGAGACAGCAAGTTAGACAGGACTAGGAATCAAAGAGGATTCTGGGAAATGTAGTACAGAAGTGGTGATCCAGGCAGGAAGTGACACAGTAAGGAGACTCATATTTAAGCAAGGAGAAACAAGCAGTGTCCCCTTTTCCCCTCTGCTCTTCCTCCAGCGGCACAATGTGATCCACAAGCAAGGAGGGACACCAATAAGGCGTCTGATAAGATAAGTCTTATAAAATATATAGGCATCCGATAAGATAAGTCATAAAATATATAGATTTATGATAATTGAGACTGAGCTAACAGATGAGAATCCTAGTCATTGGCCAAGCAGCATTGTACCTAATGCAAGTCTCTCTGCATTAACTGGGGCCCTAACTCAGGCAGGCGGCTGGCATAGAGCGCACAGGTGGCGGTGGGGCTTGGCGGCTTTTGGCAGAAAGATTTATCGTAACACAGCACATTTGCATGACTTATCAAGGAAGCATGACCAGAGTATGCTACCATACCACATCTCATTTCAAATTCACCTCCCTGGGTCATTTTTCATTTTTTATGCATTGACCCAATTAATGATGTGGATGATGCAACAGGACACAAAGGAATGGTGCCTAGGAGATGTAGTAAGATTCATTCTCTCTCTTCCTAGTAAATTTTGGGCAGAGGAGGCATTGAGTGAACTCACCATTTACAACCAGGGAAACCACATGGCTCTGTTTCTCCATTGAAATGGGATTGGTGAGAACGATCGTGTAGTTTCCCGCATCTCGTTCACTCACTTCCATGATTGTGAGTTCATCACCCACTATCATTGTGTAATTGGACTCAATGGGTCTTCCATTTCTGTACCTGTGGAAGACAGTCCCAGGAATTAACACAACAGAGGGATTTTATCTCATGTAGACCAATGTTTTGCTTTTCAGTAGTTACCATTTGATATCAGGAGCCGGGTAACTCAGGTGCTTGACAGGGATTCGGACTTGGCTGCCCACTGTTGCTTCCACCAAAGATTCCATACTGCTATCAAAAGCAATAAAAGGTTTTGCTAGAAGAAAACAAAAGCAATGGTTCTCATGAATGCCAAGTTACTTCAAATGCCTTTTTGGTTTGGAGTTTTAGTCAAGTGAAAAGTTAGATGTTGGGGTACTGCCATTCTGAGAGTCTCCATGCTGTCTATAGCAGCCACATTCCAGCTCCTCTCTAACCTTTGTCAAACTTCTCTCCTCGCTAGTGCTCTCTCATGAGCCTTGAGCTTCCATCCTTCCCCACAGCCTTCTCTAAATCCCTCAGGGACCAGCGGGCACACCTGAACCTCTGCTCCCATAACACCCGCTACCCACATTCTAGGTGTTGGTTGTCCAACACTCCCTCCTCAGACCACTCTCTTTCCCTGCCCCCTCTTCTATCTAGTTTCAGATTTAAAGCATCTGTCACTACAGAAACTTTCAACCCCTGCCCTGACTTCTCTGGGTTCCAAGTTTACATATCAAACATCTCTACCTGTATGTTTAATGGGCATCTCCAAAGGAACTCACTCAACACTATTCTCCAAATGCCATCTTACCCACCCCCCTTCACTTAGTAACACCACTGTTCCACTGCCTGTGTTAAAGTGAAGGCCATCTCTTTATGTTAAAGCTCAAGCCATAATCACAGCCAACAAATCAACCAGCAAGTCTAGCTGACTATGCCTTCAGAGTAGATCCAAGATCTCATGTCTTCTACTTCCTCCACAGATACCCTAGTCCAAGTCCTCTACCATCTCTCACCTGGATTTGAACAACCAACCCCCTAACTGTTCTTCCTTCTTCTGCCTTTACTTTCTTAAAGCAGTGCAATGGTAGATCACTTGCCTACCATATGCAAGACCCCGACATCACAAAACAAACTATTCCATGTAAGCTTCAAAGTAACCCTGTAAAAGCATAAGCTAGAGCTCTAGCATAAATAAATTATCTAAACTAGACAGCTATGTAAATGAGAGGGCATAACTGAGAATTTGGGTGATTTAGCTAAAGCAACAGAGAAAGCAACTGAATCTGGGTTTCCCCAATTTGAAGGGTTTATGCTTCTTCAAGTAAGCTCTTAGCCTCCCTTACCGAAATCTTTAATATACCATTTCACATACTAGCACTCTACTTCTAATAATAGTTATAACTGCAGAAACGGCTCTAGCAAGCAATACCTAGTGAGCACTTACCATGTGTCATTTCTAAGTTGAGGTTTTGAACACAAGTCCCTGACTCCAAAGTTAAGCTGTTGACCTCTAGGCCTTGTGTCCTCATTAACAAGAACTCAAAAGTATCTTGCAAATGAACAAGGTAAATTTATGTAAATCATCTCACTCTTTCAGGTACAGTATATTAGCAAGAAAATGGTCACTTACTATGAATTTGGACATACGTGCTGTTTCTCTTGGTCATCCGCCCACTGAACGCTGTGCAGATATATAGCCCTTGGTCATTCCGTGTCACACTGTCGATTATCAAGGTGCTCAAAAATTTCTTCATCACAGTCCCAGGAAGGGGTTTCAGGTCCCTGTTTATAACCTTCTTATGCTGATGCTGAGAAACAAAAAGATTGTAGTGAATGTTCACAACCCAGCAGAACACTAACCATCCAATAGCTCCTAGAGACCCACAGATTCAGGTCCTGTCCCTCGATGCACACTATTATTAATAACTGAGGCTTTAAATGCCACACTGGCAATATATACATTGGGATTCAGTAGAATTGAGTGAATGTTGAAATACGTGGGACTAAGGTAGAACTTTGAAGACTTCTTTAGCTAATGGGAATGAGATGTGTGTGGAGTATAGATACAAATACAACGGTTTAAAGAGAAATGTAACCCAGATCACCTCTTAAAGGGAAAAACAGATCAAGGGCTTTAGAGAACAGAGAAATAATGCAATGTTTAGGGAGAAAACATGATTAGAGGTAATGCTGACCACGCCAGCTTGGGGCTGGACAGAGGTGTTGCTGACCACGACTGCTTGGGTGTGGTCAGAGTGATGTGGGAAAGGTTTAAGTAGCTAGGGGTGCAGTGCAGGGTCCCTCTCGAACTCCCTGCTGCCTGGCTAGGTAGACTTGCGTGCGTACCTCTCCTAAATAAACTACCATTATAAATCTTGCATCTGACTCCACATTGTGTTCTCCAATAGCAATGTCAAAAGATTAATAACCTAGCAGAGATGAATATGCACAGGTCCTGGCAAGGTATCTTTCATGGTTGCTATATATTCTGCCATACTCCTATATTAAAGTGTGGGTTGGGTGGGTGTGTGTGTGTGTGTGTGTGTGTGTGGGAGAGAGAGAGAGAGAGAGAGAGAGAGAGAGAGAGAGAGAGAGAGAGAGAGCATGTTTTAAAGCCTTTATAATTTATCTGACCAGAGGGAACCCTTTATCTCTCACGCAAACTTCATTAGGGCTTATTATCAAAGTATTCAGAGACCTGGCTCTGAGCTGTTTTCATTACCTTCAAAGAAGGGATCTCCCACTTGATATCAAGCCCCACGTTGAGCTCAGTTCTTGCTGTACAATTTAAGACAAGCTTCTCTCCTGCAGATAGCTGGATTCTATGAGGGGGGCTCAGGGTCACATCATAAATCCTGTATCCTGGAGCAAGTAAATGATAAAAACAGAAAGTAAGACGGAAAAGACATCCAGGAGTTGGCACACATCTTTTAAAGTGGTACAAAGTGTGTGACATCACTTCTCTTGGGGGGACTCACTGCTTCTTGATGGCTTTTAGGAAAAAAGGTTTATAGTGATTTACAAATCACTATCTTCAGCGTTTTCGAAAATGTTGTAACCTGGTGAATAATAAAATCTAGGCTAACAGGGCCCACTTGAGTAAATAGCTGAACTTTCCATAAAATAGATACAATTAAGAGAACTGGTGCCAAGCAGTGATCTGAATATTGCATTTTTCATAACCTGAGCGCCTGTGGTTTTTCATTCTTGGTCTTGGCAAGAAAAGAGGAACACTCCCTGCCCCACCCATTGCAATGGTTTGTCTGGTAGAGAAGAACATCTATAAGGAATTGACCAGCCCCATATCCTGAGCTAGTATCTTTTCCCACACCCCTTGCTCTTCACTCTACACCTTCTCTCCAGGATCTTCATGTAGAAAGCCACTCTTCATTAGATGGTATTAATGGCACAGAAAGGAAACACCCACTTACCTACAACCACAACTATGTACATGATAGACTGGTAGGTTTCATCATTGATCTTTGCCTCGCAGAAGACCATGCCTGCATAGCTGATCATGTAACTGGGGATAGTAAAGCCTTTCTCACTGTCCCAGGAGATTCTGTTTCCATCCGGAACAAACCTCTTTTCTGGATATCTCTAGATAACAACAAAGAAACAGTATTTAACCCAGTGCTGTTGGAACTTGATGACTTCTGAAAGGCTTCAAGAATGTAAGTTGGTTTTGTTTATTGTGTTGCTGACTCTCCCTAAGGGCTTTGCAGTTCACTATTGACATGCTATTGGAAGCAGGAAGTGCATATGCAAAGAGGCTTACAGCCCTGGAAAGATGGGAAGTGACTAGAAAATAGGCAACTCACTGCACAGAGTGACACATTGAGGCTTGAAATTGACCCTAGGCACGGAATCACCACAGTTTTGTTCTTGTTCTCGGTGATGTACACAATGTCATGCTGATCACTCACAGAGGCGATGAATGGTGACCTGTAATCTGGAAGAAAAGTGAAGTTTCCAGTGAGTTATTAGAAGGACAGTTGGTATTCTTAGGTCCATGAACCATAACTGAACGAGTGAATGATTGGCATTGACAACTTGCATGAGCAAAGATGCCCATAGGTTAGTCTGGCTCCAAAGTTATGGCCAAGGAAGGGGAGAAAAGCATATATACACACATACAGACACACACACACACACACACAGAGAGAGAGAGAGAGAGAGAGAGAGAGAGAGAGAGAGAGAGAGAAGTAATCTGAATGGAAACTCCAAAAATGAGCTTAACTTCTCTACATGGAACATTAAAAAGTAGAATCTATTTTAGAAATGCCATGCTTTAATAGGTTATTATAATTTTTTTATAAAATAAGCATTTTAAATTTAAATCCATACATTGAAACTATGAGTTTTACAATGCTAAATATTCATTTCTTTCAGTAGGCAAATAATATAAATGACCTGAAAAGAAAATGAAAATTTTAAACAAAGGTGCACAATAATTAGATGATTCAGTGATTCAAAAAGAATGATTTCAATAATACCTTAAGACTGTGAGCACTGAAAATAAGACTCTTTATGCAATAATGTTTAATAGCCACTACATCCAGTTCAAGATTTAAAACTTATTAATATATCTCTGACAATGAATATTTGGAAAGCCATAATGCCAAAAGATTGAGCCAAAAGCCAGAGTCATTTTGATATCCTTCAGAGAGTATTCACACAGCATTAATACATGGCTGGGAATTTACTCCATTCCCCAGAGACAGAGGACATGGTCTGGAGTCACCACTTGAAATCTCAGAGATAACATCAACATCCCAGCTCCGACCCCCCACCCACTCCCACATGCATCTGACCAAGCCTTTCCAGAGGTGAAGAAAGAGTTAATGAAGCCAAAGGGAAGAAGAGTAGCTAATTCCTTTCAACAGCAAAAATCTGATTTCCTCCCCAGCTGGAAAGCATAGAAATGCAGCTAGCTTCGCCCCCCACATGCCATAGCCATTATCTTATGAGGCCAACGCCAGCTTCCTGGCTCTATCCACTGCTAGTTGGGTCAGAGGACGGAGGAAGTGAGGTGGGGACCAGAGGGGGACATTAAGGACCTACCCATAGGGAATAATACATTCAAAGCTTTCTTTCCTGTTGTTAAACTTCATGATCAAATAGAATGCTAAGCTGAGGCGGAAACAGAATTTCATGGTGTATCCAAAGGCACCAAGTATACTGGCAAATAGTGCTAGAGACCACCGCTTGTTGCTATTGCACATGTTAATGGACTATTACACGATGTGCTTCATTCAGAGTCTGGAGAAGTCAAATTAACCTCTTGACTTAAGACTAAAGTTATTTGGTAAATGGGTTCTATTTCAGTAGCCCTAAAGGGGAAGTAAACAAAGGAGCATTAAACAACCACGTATCCTCTCAAAATAAAATATTTACTGTAACTCAAGAAATGAATTTTACATGTCTCCAGGTTTCCTGACTTGGGGAGAAGGAAGTAACGAGATATTGTGGGAGAGGCTCATCTTGTAGCATTTCCAGACAGGCTGAGAGCAGGAAATCCTTGCAATCTTCTGAGAGAGCCACATCTCCCAAGACTGCCAGATCAAAAGGAGCCAGACATTCCCCAAGGTCTGTCTCCCTGAGCTCTGCAGAGTGAGGAGGAAGGCACAGAACTCCATCTTAGACTTTGCTTACCCTGGGCAAAAAGAATGCCCCCAGGGCACCATAGGACATTAGGACAGTCTTCCATAGACTGTCCTTACTGAAGGACAGGTCACATCTTATGGACGGTCATATCTGCAAGAGTGCTGTCCTGATGAAGAGCCTTTCTATCTGGTAATAGTTAATTCTAGAAAAAAAATTTCAAAGTCATTTTCACGGGTCTCAAATCCTCTGAGATGTAAGGTTAGATACAGATGAATAAATAAAATAGGGAGTCTGCAACCCAGACTTGGAGAGATGGTCCAGCTGTTAGGAGCACTGGCTGCTCCTGCTGAGCATGTACATTCAATTCCCATCACCCAAGGTGGCTCAGAGCCTTCTGTAACTCCAGTTCCAGTGGGGGTCTAATGCCCTCTTCTGACCTCCACAGATAGCAGGCGTGCACACAGTACACATGCAAAACTTGCATTCACAAAAATGAAAACAAATAAATCTTTATATATAATGAAACCTTGACATTCCTGAGAAGTGCATAATATTACAGGTGTCTCATAAGTGAAGATGGGTTTATTGCAAGAAAAGGTGGTGTGCAGTTTTTAAAATACAAAAGAGATCATAATTCATGCTCTAGAAATCGAATACATGTTGCCTTGTAGTCTTTATTATAAAGATGTTAAGTTGCATGCCTTGCTTACAGTGCTAAAGTAACCCTTTCACATGAGACAAAAGCTAAGCTAATCCTTTAATGTAAAATGAAAGGTCTTCTGTAAATCAGTCCTAAATCATTAGCCCTCAAAGGTGAAGTATGCAAAGGAAGCTCACACAGCTACCATCCCCTCAAAATAAAATACTCGCTCTAACTATGAAGCGACCTTTCATGTCTCTAGGCTGCATCTTCCTGGAGTCGATGGCAAACTTGAAGCCCTCTCAGAGCACACAAGCAAAGACAGGACATGCAGTCCTCCACGGCTTCTTTGGAGATGGTGTTGTGCTTTGCACATGGGTATGTGGATTTTTTTTTAATAAAGTGTGAGTCTGGAAAGGAAAAATCTTATGGGGGAGGGGGAAAAACACAACCTCCAGAGTCCTTGGCTATTTCGCTATGCATTCCTGCAAAAACCTCCTCCCTGCTACAGATAACCTATCTCACCACAGAAACCTCTCTATAATCCACTTCCAATCTCCCTCCATTTCTAAGATCTCAGGGTCTCAAACAAGAGAAGGCATTTTATGAGTCCCTATAGCCCATGACAGGTCACAGAGAATCTCAGAGCACCACACAGAAGGGACTAGGACTGACCTATCTAAAGAAGACAAATGCAGCTCAGACCAAAGCCCAGACAGTCAGTGAGTCCTTTCTTAAAAGAAGTCTGGGAGGGAGATTTTTATATTCTTTTTGGCAAACAGCCTTTCCATCAAGACTCCTGTTGGACTTAACTTTTCTTGTGCCTGTTGCTTTTTAGACCTAGTAAGTGGATGTGGGAAGTACATTCTTGTCCACTGCTTACCTTGAACATGGACATAAATGACGGAGGACATGTCGACATCCCAATAGAAGCACTTGTAGGCTCCGGTATCATTTGCCACCACTTTTGGAATTGTGAGTGTCTTGCAGAAGACGCTGTCACTGCACTCAGTCACCGACACCCTTTCCTCAGAACCATGATGATTGTTGGGCCAAAGCCAACCCAGGTCCCTCTGTCCCCTGAAAAAAGTATTCCAGGAAGGTATTAATGTGACACCCCATGGCATGAGGCTCTGAATAAGAGAACGGAAGGTATGGTTCTCATGAGCATATAAAATGCTCAACAGACACTTCAAAGTTGATAGACACTGATGACAGTCTGCATGGACATGCCACCAAAGATCACACACTCTATTTCAGAAATCACCCATGGGGTCATGTGTTTTCTGTTAGTTCACAATTCATTCTTTCAGTATGAACTGAAAGAATGTTTTTTTAAGTATATATAATTGCTGACCATTATTAAGGACAAAAACTAATGCTTTAAGGGACCAAAGATATGATGCTCAGTGCTAGAGCACTTTCCCAGTGTACACCAAGAAGAAATAAATCAGTGCCTTTATGGAAGCTCACTCTAACTAGGGGAGAGACAACTAGGACATACAAGTCATTGTATAAAAGGTGTTAATTTAGTGCTATGAAGAGAAACATAAAAGAAGCAACAAACAGGCCCTATGCACATGATGAGGAACAGCATTTCAAGCAGGAACGGTAAATGTGAAGGACAGAGACCAGTGCACATCTGGAGTGTTGGGGAAACAGCAGGGAAGCCAGAATCATCATGTAGGTGTGAGGGAGGAAGAAGAGAGGGCACCGAGAGAAGAGGGCCCTGGTACCTCCTTGAAAGGGTAAAGTTAAATAGACAATACTTTTATTGCTTCATTTCTCCACAAAGCAAATGGAAGGTAGTCAATATGAATAAAACAATGTGGCCCACTGAGCCTTCATTCAAAGAGCTTGAAACTCCCATGACATCACAGTATTGACTGTGCCTGTTCTCTCCAGGGTTTGCTCAGAACACAAGAAATGTTTCTGAAGTCTCCTTTAAAGGGAGGGGGACCTTTGCAGATCTCAAGTGACCTTTGTGTCTGAGACTAGGTAGAAGGGAAAGTCTCTGGAAACGCCATGACTTACGAAGATAAACAGCTCCTGCTATGGCTTTCTGTTTTTGTTTCCCCCCCCCTCCAAAGGCTGGGTATTGAAGACTTTGCAGACCTTAGATAAGAGGCCTAGTGTCTCTCCACATGCAACAATCTAAAACAGACCTGAGTTATGCTGTGGACCACTTGGTATTCTTCAAATAGGATGCAAAGGCCACAAGCTGCCAGGACTCTTTGTGGCACCAGCACTCAAAACCACACTGATTTACAGAGACCTCTGAGTCATTCATGAATGAGTGCCATATCCACCTATACCTCCTCTAGGTTTCCTTTCTTGACTCTTGGTTGAAAAGCAAAATTCAAAGGCCTCCTCTTGTCTAAGAGTTCTGTTTCCCTGCTTATCCAGCATCAGTAGCGTGGCTACTTGCGGGCAAGAGGGAAAGAGGGCCTGAATATCAAGCCAGAGTATGCAGTTCATGTTTTGAGCAGGACATATGGTCAGGAATATTGTTGGCTAGAGATTAAGTTGCTACTACAGACAGAATTTCATTTGTAGAACACAGTTCTTATAAAGGGCTAAAAAGATGTTCACAAGTCATTCGAACTGACATGAACATGGCTCAGACTTCCACTCTATTTCACAAGGATAAGCCCTTAACTTTACTGATTCATCAATAGTCATGAATGTCTATCACATGTCAGTTTTTGGCACGCATGTACATGTGTGCATGGTTGTGCAAATGCATATGTGAGTATGCATTTGTACGTGTTGAAAAGGCCGGTCAAAACAGTACAAAAGTTTGAAGAGACCTTTCTCATTGTTTCGTTATGTCATGAGTTCTTAGAAGCCTCATGACTTATAAACAATTACAACAATACTATTATAAATCTCTAGGGATGGAGTATGAGCTGAGAGGTGTAAGCTGAAATAAACCCTTTCCTCCCCAAGTTGCATTTGGCAGTGGTGTTTTATCACAGCAAGAACCCTTACCTGCAAGTAATCTGAAGGGTTGTATTGGCCAAAATTGTAAGTACATCTTTTTGTGTGCTGAGCTTGGGTGGATGGAGGGAATCATCTGGCAAACCTAGAAAGAAATTAGACAAGAGTCGGACCCCATAGGAAACACCTTCCATCAGCAATGCATACTCCAAGTTTTAAAAGACCTCTTCAGCAATTCATCGTACAAAAGTGGAATCTGCTTTGCCCCATTCCCAGTAAAAGTTCACAAGCTCTGTCATAACAGGAAGAATGGGCAGATGGTCACAAACCAACACAACAGTTCTGCAATTCACAGTGCTAGGGTGGAGTTCCTGTTTTCCTGCACTGCCAACTTCAAGGTCTTACAAAAGGATATGGGACATCGAAACCCGGTGAGCCACCATCTGATGATCTCAGGCCCTTGGGAAAGCATAGGATGTACACATCTGACTAAATTGCTGATTAATGAAAACTCCCTAGAGAGATCTCTATACAGCTCATCTCCATACCTCCCCCCCAAAAAGGGGCAGGAGCTACTGTGACCTTTGTCCCATTGTCTTTTATCAGGCAGTATAGCAGATTTCCTTTGGTAATCAAGCTGCGGTAGTGGCTCATAAAGACAGGGCGTTTAGATGAAGGAAAATGAATTGAGGAAGAGTAAAAATCTCTCAAGTTCATGCATACATGCATATTAATATACTTTTCCTCTGAGCAAAACTTAAAATAGTGTAACTCTAATGAGCTACAATGGGGGGTTCTCAACTGATTAATTAATCAAAGCTCTGAGCTCATCTAGACACAAAGCTCCAGACACAAGATACATGTTACCTAAAAAAACTAAAACACAGAAAGATATCATGAGATATACACGTCTCTAACAGGTCACACCACAGCAAGATAACTAGGTGTCAGTCATCTAAATGTAAAGTGTTACCAGGCATGTTAAAAGCATGAGAAAAAGAGGAGTTGCCCACCATGCTAAGGGACATCAAAATCTTCCAGCTCTCAGCTTGGAAAGTAACTGATCTGCCTAGCCTGGTGGTGCACACCAGGAAGCCCAGCACTCAAATGGACCAAACAAGAGGACTGTAAGTTTGAGTCTAGCCTGGGCCATATAGTGAGTGAGACTGTCTCAAAAGAAAAAGATAACTAATTAATACCAGGCAGCCACCCAGGCTTTCTAATTCACACCAACTCAGAACAGATGACTCGTAGGGTCTCAGCTGGCATTGACCTTGTTGGGCAAATAAGTGAACGTGAACAAATACGGGGCCGTGTGAAAGAAGAGAGTATGAGCAAACAGCCAGGGCAAATAGCCAGTGCTGTGACACCGTGGCCCCTATGTGAACAACTGGAAGCAGGTGGTTAACTGACAGCACAGGGTCTCACACACCTGCACAGATGTGCAGAACAATCTACAGCTACACCACCCCAAATACACCCAATCTAATCAGATGCACATATGTTGCTGATCTAACTATAGATATATTGATTGATGACATGTTTTCAATCATTGGAAATGAAATGACATTAATAACCCCCAGAAGCTAGTTGACATCATCAATGACTTGTATTTGGGCAGTGGTTCTGAACTTTATGTGGTGTTTGGATATTCCTAGATCTGCAAATATACACTTTAAGTGGCATTTAAAGTGACTGTGTCACGGGTGCTCTGTGGGGTAGTCATGGGTAGTCATGTTTAATCAATCAGTGTAATCACTTTTCAATATGAAAGAAGGCAAGCACATAAACACGTCTTCCAATGATGGAATGCTACTTGGTTTGAGAAGTGAAAAATACAATTTGTTTGATAAGTAGATTTTAAACATGACTCAGAAATATTAGCCCCAAAACAATAACTGGATACGACTCATATGAGGAGCCAAATGAAAAAGAAGCCATCAGTTGGGCAAATGTGTAAGGGAAAATGTGGTAGTAAATAACCACCATTCAATAAGCTGTGTCCACTCTACCTCTGCAGCAAATGACTTTTATTCTTCAGTGCTGGGAAGCGAACCCAGACTCTCAGTGCTCTATCTCTGATCTACATGCCACAGCCACTGAAAGCCTCTTGACTGTCTCTGTAATAAAGTACAGCCAGAGATTATCTTAGACTGCTGGCACATTAGCTATATTCATCTTTAAGAGACATCCCATTCACAAGAAGCCATATACAACACCACGCTATTCTAGGGATCGCTCCACAATCAAATCTAGCCAATAAGGTTATCAATAATAACTGGAGAGTTACATCAATGACTAACACTCCCTCCACCCATTAAACCCCATTCATTTTCATTGGCAAGTTTGGGTCCTCTCCTTTAGAAAGCTAGTTCTGACTGTAAGAGGTACATATGCTACTACACAATAAAAGCCCTTTTATGTTCGAATCCCATAACCAACACTAATTAATTTGTGCACTGTTATCCTTCCTGCTCGAAGACAAGAAGGAAAAACAACAGCAGCTCTGTCTCTAGACTTCGATGGCACCAATTATAGTCCAATCCAATTAAGCAAGTCACACACTCCGAAAGGGCAACCTCCATTTTATTCAGGGAACCAGGCTACTGTTAAACTGCTGCTCTAGGAACACCCCAGGCTTCAAAGCAACTCACTTCTTTGTGGGACACAGGGCAAGCACATATTCCAGACTATCTTTCTCTTCCCAGAAGGGGGGAGAGTGGGCGTTTGTCAGGGACAAATGAGCACCCATGATGGAGCTGGCCTGATGAACCGAGTCATTATGAAGAAAACTCAATAACTGTAGACAGATGATCTTGGTACTGTATTTCAGTGCCAGTGTTTTTAAGGCACGCAGTTGTCTTCTGATGCAAGGAATATTTTTTACGGAATTGAATTTTTTCTGACTCTCCCTCCATTCTCCAACGGGTAGAGACTGGGAAACGAGCAAACTGGCTACAAAAAGGAAATGGAAGAGAACTGGGGGGGGGAGGGGGGGGAAGGGAGGGGAG